TTATCAACTCCAAATCCGCCTTTTTGTATCTTTTTATTTGTTTATTTCCAGCTTTAAGACATCAATTTTTGTCTCCTTCTCCTCTTCTAAATTATTAAAAATAATAATTTAAATTAAAATATATTTCTCCGAAAATTATTTTGTCTACAAATCACTTAGCCAATATATCAGCTAAGTGATTTGTAGATAAAATAATTTTCAAGGAATTGATTTAAGAAAAATGATTAAAACAAATTTTATGTTATACTTACATTATTTACTTTACTATTTTTGTCTATTCTTTTTCGATTATGTTTTTTTAATACTGGATTGGCATTAATTGTAGCTGTTCTTCTTTGGGTTTTATGATGCTGCTTTAAAATTTTTTTGATCTGGAATAAGCTTATACCGAATATTATGCGATTGATTTCCCCACATTTTATTTAGATCCGGCTTGAGGTCAGCCAAAGCACCACCTTTAATTAACACTCTTATTTCATCCTTTTATTAATAATTATAAGAAAGTTAGACAAAATATTTAAGCTGATATAGTAAATATATTTACCCATAAGTGTATTCTTTGCTCCTCTGTCAATACTGTTAATGTACCTTCACTTGAGCTGCTGCTACTGCTACTAGACCTGCTAGTTCTACTACTTCCACTTCTACTAGCCAATTTTTTTTTCTTACTATGACTTCTACTACCTGACTTACTTTTCTTACTATCTCTTCTGCTAACTGATCTACTTCTATTTTCTTTTTCATCCTCACTACTTAAGCTACTCGAATCTGAAGATAATGCCAACAGCACTTCTCTTCCTTTCTCCTTACCAAATACAGAAGTGATAGCTTTTGCAACAGCTATAGCAATAAGATCCACACTTACTAATAATTATTAATTTTATATTAATGCTCAATAAATTACAATTATCACCATTATATAAACGTTCTTACATTTTGGTTTTTTATATTTATATGACTTAGACTTTTAGGCTTTTTTGCTGTTTCTAGCTTTTGGGAGCTTTTTTTCTTTATCTATTTTGATAATTGAAATGAAATATTAACAAAATTCTTATGATACCATCCTTTATAAATATCTTATCCACATCACTCTAATATTATAAATTAAAAAAAATTACTTTATTAAGAAGATATACATAAGAACTTATCAATTACTTGATTAGGTTTCTAACTTATTGTTATGCGATTTTGGCAATTTTTCATTATTAAATATGTAGGGTAAAAATATAACAATAAAAAATTATATTAATATCACTTTAATATCATTAATTAATTGCTAATTAATTAAAAATAATATATCTTTTGCTTAGAAAATATGTAAACAAATATCTCAATTACCAGATTTAGTAATTATATGATTTTGGTGATTTTTATTATTAAATATATAGAGTAAAAATATAATAATAAAAAATTATATTAATATCAATTTAAATCATTAATTAATTACTGATTACATTAAAATGATATACCTTTTGCTTGGAAGATATGTGGACGAACATCTCATTTACCAGATTTGGTAGTTATGTGATTTCAGTGATTTTTCATTATTAAATATGTAGAGTAAAAATAAAACAATAAAAAAATTATATTAATATTAATTTAATATCATTAATTATATTAAAATAATTATATACCTTTTACTTGGAAGATATTTGAATGAACATCTCAATTACCAGATTTAGTAGTAATACTGATTTCAGCGATTTTTCATTATTAAATATAGTAAAAATCAAACAATAAAAAAATATATTAATATCATCTTAATATCATTAATTAATTACTGATTACATTAAAATAATACTATACCTTTTGCTTGGAAAATTTTTTGATGAATATCGCAATTATTAGATTTAGTAGTAATACTGATTTCGACGATTTTTCATTATTAAATATAGTAAAAATCAAACAATAAAAAAATATATTAATATCACCTTAATATTATTAATTAATTACTGATTATATTAAAATAATACTATATCTTTCGCTTGGAAGATTGTTTGATAAATATCTCAATTACTGAATTTAGTAGTAATACCGATTTTGGTAATTTTCATTGTTAAATAAATATAGTCAAAATTAGACAATTAAAAAATATATTAATATTGCCTTAATATCATTAATTAATTACTGATTACATTAAAATAATACTATATCTTTCACTTGGAAGATTGTTTGATGAACATCTCAATTACTAAATTTAGTAGTAATACTGATTTTGGCGATTTTTTATTGTTAAATAAATATAGTCAAAATCAAACAATAAAAAGATATATCAATATATTCAACAAAAAACTCTTTCTAACAATTATCTTGACCATATTTTCTAAAAAACGTTTTGACTAAAAAACAGTAAAATAATGCAAAAAAAATATAAGACATGGGAAAAGGCATAAGAAGAACTGCACTTGTTATTTAGAGGTAGTTCTCATACACTACTTGCCAACAAGCTTAGAGTTTATCACTTACGGCAGCACGGTGCTTGTCATTTAGAGATAGTTCTCATATGCTATTTGCTGACAAGCCCAAAGTTTATCACTCACTGAAAAAACTTAGTACAGTAATACCTCTCTAAGTGGACTGGATATAAGTGTATACTTAAAAAGGGAGTATATTTAGGGGGTACCCAATTAGCCAATCAAAATCAAGAATTAAATATCTATAATAAAAAATATATATATTTTGGTACTACTGTATACCCAGTATTTAAAATCTATATGCAAATCTTTATACAGGTAAAATTTTCTTTGAACTCAAGTTACGCACTAATGACATTATATATGTACATACCTTCCAGGGCTTATCTAAATGTACATATATACTACGTATATTTATATTAATTTATTACAATACATGAGCTAAATTGTATAAATATTCTGTTTTTTCCGAGTTAAGGTGAGATATATAAAGAACAGTTTATTTATTTTCTTTTTTTACTATCTTATGTATTTGAGGAGTATTTATTATTATAGTATTTAAATGATATTCACTATTTTATTTTTAAGGATTAAATGCCTTTATTAATTCAATAAATTCAATATCAAAAATGCAGCTTTAAATTTCTAAATTTTTAATTCATTTCAATATTGTGCTATAAAAATATTAAATTAGTTGTTATTGTAAGATTAACGCATTGTATATAAAATTACATGAAAATATTTACTAAAATGAATATTGAAAGCAGTTTAGGCAAAAGCCACAACTTGAAACCAACTAAATTTAAGTCAAAAGCATAGCCTTAATTTATGGCTTCAAGTTAAAAGCATAGCTCTCATCCATGGCTTAAAGCTAAGCTTAAATTAAATTCAATTAAAAGCCATGATTCAAAGTTATGATAATTTAAAATTACAATCAAGTGATGACTTGTTTTAAATAAAGCCACATTATTCAAATAATAATTCTAAGAACACAGCCTCATTAAATGATTTGTGGTTAGCACAGCCAGAACCTTGGTTCTGGTTGTAGATTCTTAAATCTTAAAAGTAATATTTTTATATAAAGAAATAATTTTACTAATCATAATTTTTGCAGTACAATCTTGTAAAATGCTCAAAAGAACTACCCTTACAGATTTCTAACAACACAATTGAACCCTTATTCATATATAAAAGCAAAAATATAAAGCCATGTTTATGAAAGACATAAACATTTTAGAAAACAAAATGCCTCATGAAGATAAAAAAAACAAAACTAAACTAAAATTCCTAAAATAATCTAATATAAATGAACAAAGATAAAAAAAGTGAAAAAAAGAAAGTAGCCATGATACACTATTATAGCCCATGCTAGGCATAAAGATAAAAATTATATAATAATTGCAACTAATTACTATATCTCATTCTGAGCACCGACTAAACTCAAGTATTTTCTAAACGGGGTGGCGATCTCTTTCTTATACTGTAGCACTGTATTGATAAACAAAACAAATACGTAGTTGCTTTCTACTGAGTTATCTGAATTAGATAGGTGTAAACAATACTGATCTTTTGGAGAGAGTAAGCTAAAATTTGTCAAATTTTTGGTGAGAATGGCAAAAAGTGAAAAATACAAAGTAGACCACTGATATATATTTAAATGAGCATAAGTCTAAAGACATCAACAGGTGTTTCACAAGTTTGTACAGTACAGTAATACCTCCCTAAGTTCACTCTCCCTAAGTATACACCCTCTTTAAATGCATACTATAGCCCGGTCCCAAGCTTGGGACTTAGTGCTAAGTGCACACCTCTATGTTCTGCACGTGCATAGTTTTTACTGCCCAAACCTATGTGTGTACCCATAAGTGTACTCACATGATTAAGAACTAATAAAATTCGAGATCATATCTCATTGATGAACAGGTAATTTGATATCATAAAAGATTATCTTTCTTAAACATATTAAAATATGAATTATAATATTTTAACCCAATGCTTTATTCAAAGTGCCAATATTTACCTTGTGAGTCGAAACAAGAAGTTTCTATTGTATAACCTAGCAATGCTTGGAAGAAATTTACTCAAGTTTACTTAAATATATTTAATCATTAATTTTAACACACTAGACATATATGTTTATAAAGACTCTTTAAAATATTTATACAATTTTTATTTTTTTATTTTATACAAAATAATCTAACGATATTCTTTCAGGTTCTAATTTCTAATTTTTCAGGTTTTCAAATCAAAGGCCATTGAATTATTTATTGAAAAATTACAATAGCAATAAACAAGAAAAAAATAGTTTGCTATTTACAAAGGAAATATTAAAATGACTATTTTTTTTATTATTCCATAAAATAGTCATTAATCTTACTTTGCTGTTGCCGGTTTATTTTTTTTTTTTAAGAAATTTTTCAATTTTTTTAATAGCCTTAACATACTCATTTGCTTCATCTTGTTGAAGCAAAAATATAAACACAGTCTCCAAGCTTGTAATCACCATATCAATGCTAATTAAAGAGATTTCAATGCAATTATCATCTTCCGAATTATCACAAGCTAAATCAACTAGCTTGAAAGTTTTTAAAGTTCTTCAATAACTTGGTCATTCGCAGGAATTTCATAAACAATATTTTTTGCAGAGATAGAAAGAAACTCTTCAACTAGCATTGGGTCATCAAAGTGAATATGGAGGTCTTCAGGTGCATTGGTAAGATTATTAAGTGCTAGATTCATAGTCTGATAAACGTTATTTGTAATACTATATAATTTAGTATTAGTATCAATAGAGAGGATATTCATATGATACTAGTAGTTGCGAATTGTTTTAGCAGCAACTTCATCCCAGTCTTAAATGATGAAACATATAGCTTGCAATACATCTATTTCTAGTCCATCAGCATATTCACCCTTTTCTATATGCTCTAATATCTAGCTTTTTTTTTTTTTTTTTTAATATTAAGGTGACCACTTAGGCCCTTGGCACTTTATTAGTACAAGCGGTAGGCCAATG